GGCTGGGCTCTCCTCTCCCGCGCGGCGCGGAGTCGTCTCGCTCCTCCGCAGGCGGAGCCTCCTTCCCCCGCCCCCTCCGTCTCGCTCCCTTGTTCTCGCCGGGGCCGCTCAGACCTGCAGCGGAGCCGCGGAGCCGCGGCGCCGGCTCCGATCAGCAAAAGGCTGCGTCCTAGAGATTCCGCGGCGGGCAAGGGCAGGGGCGCGCCCCTCCAGGCTGGACCCTCGGCATTGCCAGGTAAAGACTTCTGCCTGGGAATCCGGGGTCGGGAACCTGCGGAGAGACAGCAGCGGCCCGCAGCCTGCGGGTGCCTTCTGAGCGGTGTGCTCCGTGGCTGGGATCCCACTGCCGGCTCCCTTCTCCCGCGCTCTCTCTCCTTTTTCCCCTCGCACCTCTACCTTTTTCCCATTTTCTTCTTCGATATCTCTTTACCATTCTTTCTCTCTACCTGTTTGCCTTCTCTACCCCTTCCGTCTCTCGACCCCTTCTCTCTTCCTCTTGTCTTTTTCCATTTTCTCTCCCTCTTTGCTTTTCTCTCTCCTTTCCCTCTCCTGCTCCTCTTATCTCCCGTTTCCTCCTTCCTCTCCTTTGTGTTTCCCTTCCCTCTTTCCTGATTCCCACTCTTCTGTCTCCCTTCTCTACCACTCGTCGCGCCTCTTCTCTGACCCCGCTTCTCTCCGGCTTCCCTCTTCCCCTAGAGGGAACGGACTGTCAGGTGTGTGTCTGCTCTGGGGGAGGAGGAGCAACAGCAGCAGCTACCTGAGGGGTCTCCGCTAGGAGGAGCGGGAGAAGAGAGAAGTGGGCAGGGTCCTCTCTCGTTCCCTTCCCAGCAGCCTCTCCCTACCTCAGCCCCTCCTGACTGCTCCCTCCTCCAGAATGAAGTTCCCAGCGGCCGGGGCCTGACCTCCGCAGCTAAGGACTACCCCTGCCTACTCATATCACACACACACACGCTAAGATCCCCTTTTCTCCCCACTCCTCCTGACCCCATCCCAAGCCTAGTACCTGTGACTCTTTTCTGCCTTTCAGGAGCCCAACCTGCTTCCTTTGATGTCTTTCCTTCTGTCTCTTGCTGCCATCTGTCTCTGTCTCTCATCCAGTTTTCTCTGTCTCTTTTGGATAGTTCCTGAGTCTCTGTCTCACCTACAATTACTCTTCCTCTGACCTCTGGGTCTGCCTTTGTTACTCCCCCCTCTTGTTACCCAACCCCAACCCTGTCACCTTTTCTTCAGCTCTGGCACTCACTCTACCTCCTGAGCCCAGTCCCCCTTCAAGGACTGCAGGACAATGTGGGTTGGGGCAGGGCCTGTCGAGGTGGACTTCCCTCTGGGAGAAGGCCTTTTTCAGAGGCTCCCAACCCTATCTTAGGCTGCACCCCTTGACATCTCTCATCCTGACCCTGGACCCCTTAAGGCCACACCTCCATTAATTCCAACCCCTGAATTTTAAATCCTTTCTCTGGTAGCCCCACCTCCTTCAGCCCCTTGGCTGCATGCCCAACCTGGGAAGGCAGGGGCAAGATTTAGGGCTCCAAGCCTTCCCACCATCCCGTCTCTTGTTTTCTTCCCCAGCTTCCCTGCTCAGAGTTGACTGACTGAAGATTTATCAGCTTGGAGGGCTAGAGGTGAATACAGGCAGAGCCTGGCTAGAGGGAAGGCTTGGACTGTCTGGTCTCTGTTTAAGCCTTGGTTCTGGGCAGTGGGGTGTCTGGTTCCTTGGAGGTCTGATCTTCAGATCTAAATTTGATGGGTAGGGGTGGTAAGGGTTTCGTTGACCCTGAGCAACTACCTGTCCTGCAGGTTTGGATCCATGGGGTAGTCCCAATGCATCTGTCCCTGCGCCCCAGCCAGCTCATGGGCCACCCAGCCTGGCCCAGCCTCAGCACCCAGGGCTAGTGAACAGAGCCCTGGCTAGAGCCCAAACATGTGGGGCCTGGCAAGGCTTCTGCTAGCCTGGTTGGGTGGCTGGGGCTGCATGGGGCGCTTAGCAGCCCCCACCCAAGCCTGGGCAGGGTCCCAGGTGGAGCCAGGGCCTGGACTACTGAGGACCCGAAGGAGTTGGGTCTGGAATCAGTTCTTTGTCATTGAAGAATATGCCGGTCCAGAGCCTGTCCTCATTGGCAAGGTAAGGATCATTCCCTCCCATGTCTACCTGGACACTTGAGGTCCTTAAGGACCTGCCCTACACTTTTGCAATGTCCTTATTCAGTACCCTAGGACTCCCAACACTTCACCCAAACCTAGACTTTTAAACCTCTATTTCTGCCCTTGGAATCCTCTGCCATTTTTTCCTGACCCCTACAGCTGCACTCTGATGTGGACAGGGGTGAGGGCCGCACCAAATACTTGCTGACTGGGGAGGGAGCAGGCACTGTCTTTGTGATTGACGAGGCCACAGGAAATATCCATGTCACCAAGAGCCTGGACAGGGAGGAGAAGTCACAGTATGTGCTACTGGCCCAAGCTGTGGACCGAGCCTCCAACCGACCCCTGGAGCCGCCATCGGAGTTCATCATCAAGGTGCAAGATATCAATGACAATCCACCTGTCTTTCCTTTTGGGCCCTATCATGCCACTGTGCCCGAGATGTCCAACGTTGGTGAGTACCCCAGTTCCTCAGATGCCTCTCCCCATTGCCATCTGCCCCAGAGCCCTCCTTCTTTGAATTAACTGTCCTCATATGTGGGTCCCCAGTATCTGCTATACTTACCCACTTGGGCCTGCTCCATAGGCACATCAGTGATCCAGGTAACTGCTCACGACGCGGATGACCCCAGCTATGGAAACAGTGCCAAGCTGGTATACACTGTGCTAGATGGGCTTCCTTTCTTCTCTGTGGACCCCCAAACTGGTGAGGACAGAGTTGGGGAGCCTGGTGGGACAGCCATGGGGAAGACACCCCCTGATCCAGTGTCTCTCTCCAGGAGTAGTGCGCACCGCCATTCCCAACATGGATCGGGAGACACAAGAGGAGTTCTTAGTGGTGATCCAGGCCAAGGACATGGGCGGCCACATGGGGGGGCTGTCGGGCAGCACAACAGTGACTGTCACCCTCAGCGATGTCAACGACAACCCCCCCAAGTTCCCTCAGAGTAAGGGGCCAGTGCTGCTGTCTGAGCTTTCCTGTGACCACCCACCCCACCATTATAACCTCTGGAGAAACCTACCCACCCACCCCCATCCTGGGCCAACCCTGGGAAAAGGAAGAGCAGGGAGGAGAGCTGGGGACCCTTCTAAAAATGTGACTCCCCTCCACCTGCCTCCAAGGCCTGTACCAATTCTCCGTGGTGGAGACAGTTGGACCAGGCACCCTGGTGGGCCGGCTGCGGGCCCAGGACCCAGACCTGGGAGACAACGCCCTCATGGCATACAGCATCCTGGATGGGGAGGGGTCTGAAGCTTTCAGCATCAGCACAGACTCCCAGGGTCGAGATGGGCTTCTCACTGTCCGAAAGGTTAGCTTCCTGTCTGAACACTTATGGTTTCCTCCTGGTTGGGTACCTTCCTAACTGGTCTAAATCATACTCAGGACACGTCCCCCTAGACTGGAACTTAGAGAGTAGAGTAATCTCATCTTTCAGTTGAGAACCTGAGGCCCACAAAAGTGAAGTGACTGGCTCAAGATCATACAGCAAATCTAGGATGGAATTGGGGCAGACCTAGCACAAAGTAATCTGACCCCAAAGTAATCAAGGCCACTGCCTTTCTGGTGACTGCCTTATAGGACTGAACACTGGATGTGTGTGGGAAGGGATTCTTCAACTTTCTTGAGCCTGGCTTACCCTGGTTTCTGCATGCTGTCTTCCACTCCCCATCTCCTCTCACCATAGGCCCTAGACTTTGAGACCCGTCGCTCCTACTCCTTTCGAGTGGAAGCCACCAACACACTCATCGACCCAGCCTACCTTCGGCGAGGGCCCTTCAAGGATGTGGCCTCAGTACGCGTGGCTGTGCAAGATGCCCCAGAGCCACCTGCCTTCACCCAGGCTGCCTACCACCTGGCAGTGCCTGAAAACAAGGCTCCCGGGACCCTAGTGGGCCAGGTCTCTGCCTCAGATCTGGACTCCCCAGCCAGTCCAATCAGGTGAGTTGGGCTATGGGCTAGGAAAGGGTGGTGCCTCCAGCATGTTCCCAAGAGGGATGGGCCATTTACAGTAAATCACACTCACCTTCTGGTGGAAGTCTGCCTCCCTTTAGCCAGGTGGGTAGGAATATGCTTCTAAAGCCTGGGTACTAGAGGAGGAGTAGGGAGCCTGGCTAGCTGCTCCCCCTGACTCTCCACCCATCCCTGTGGATGCATAATAGTGGCACCTCCCAGTGAGAGTGCAAGCAAATGTAATCTCATTTGATAAGTGCAATTGCTATCACTATTGGTTACTCTCTAAGTGCCACACAATGTACCCACCTGATAACACTCAACTCCCACGCCAGCCCTATAAAGTAGGCGTTGCCATCGCCAGGTGTTTCGGAGATGAGACTATGAGAGGTTAAAAAACTTTCTCAATGTCACAGAGGAATTAGCAGAACCAGGATTCAAACCCAGGCTTGTCTATTTCCAGCAGCCATTCAGAGCTGTGTTTTTCCCATTTTGAGGTTGAGTAAGCAGAGGCAAAGCAATTTACCCACCCAAGGTCACACAGCTGGTCAGAAGCTCAGCAGGGACTATAACCCAGGTCCCTGGGTCCCCAGAAGAATACTGCCCAGACATCTGAAAGACAGGTAGTGTTCCTCTCCTTCCACATCTCCTTCTATAATATCATCTCTTCACCCCCAAACAAACCCAGCCCCCAAGTCTTAGGACAGGTGTTGAATGCTGGTGACCTCCTAGGGATATTTGCTTTTTAAGTGATCTCCAGACCAAGATGTGCAGGTTCCACTTGGACCCTCGGCCCAAATGAGCCAAGAAGCCACAGGGAGAGATGGAAGGAGAGAAAGGTAGCAAACTCCAGCCCTGCCCCCAGATCAGCCCCCAGCATGGCTCCATCTTCCCTAGATACTCCATCCTTCCCCACTCGGATCTGGAGCGTTGCTTCTCCATTGAGCCCGAAGACGGCACCATCCGCACGGCAGTACCCCTGGACCGCGAGGCTCGTGTCTGGCACAACCTCACTGTGCTGGCCACAGAGCTTGGTGAGGAGTCCTGGGCCCTCTCTCTTGCTCCAGCCCAGAAATAAACCCAGCCTCAAATAAACCCAGCCCTTAAGTAATCCCAACATGTGCCCTGGCAGACCCTGCCCACTCTGCAGTTCAGGCTGGGAGTTGAGGACAGGGAAGAGCTGAGCACGTTCTCTGGAGGCTGAATAGGAGGGCACTCCTCAGCTGTGGGAGGGTATCAACAGCTCAGGCCTGGGAAGGCCTGCTGGGGAGCTTCCCCCAACCCCCAACCCCTTAGGTAGGAGGGAGGGGTTCTAGGAGGGAGGGATCAGCATCATGGGCTGACATTACTTTTGTTCTGTCAATCATCAGCAACCTGAGCCTTTGGGTAGAAAGGGGAGGGGGCTAAATGGCTCCCTCTGTCTGCTCAGCAGTGAGACTTTCCTCCCCTCTATAAACAACTTCTCTTCACCCCTGCTCAAGAACCCCAGGGAAGCCCAAGGGTCTCCTTCACACTATTGTCTATGAACTGTGTATAACTGTGTATGTGGATATTTGTACGTGTGTTTGAAGAGCTATGTGTACATGGATGGGTATGTATGTAACTCCATATTCCTGAAAATACACACACGCACACATATATTTGCGAGTGTAAGTAGGTCTGTAATGATATTTATATGTGTGTATATATGTGTGAGTATTTATCTAGAGTTTTATTATTGGTGTAGATGTGCAACTGGATGTCTATAATGGTATGTATAAATAGCTGTTGGTGTAGATTCCTTTGTGTATGTGGGTGTCGTAGGCAGATAATAATAATGGATTACTTATTGTGTATTAGACACTGTTCTAAGCACCAAATGTGGATTCGTTCATTTAACCATCATGTAGGTACTATTATTTCCCCATTTTAAAATGAGGAAACTCAGGCAAAGAGAAGTTAAGTCGTTTTCCAGGGTCATGCAGAGATTTAATGGTGGAGCCAACAAACCCAGAGTCAACGGCACTCAAGTTATTTTTGTGACTGTGGTCAAGTTGGTTCCAGCTCATAGTGTCACAGTGGCCCTGTAGAACGTTTCGGAGGCTGTAAATCTTTATGGGAGCAAAGAGTCTCCTCTTTCTCTATATATACACATACATATATCGTGTTGTTAAAGTGCCATTGAGTCATTTCTGACTCATAGTAACCCTGTATAGATTTTCCAAGGAGTGTCTGGTGGGTTTGAACCACCAACCTTGCAGTTAACATTCCAATGCTGATCCTACAGCACCACACGATGGGTTTGAACCACCAACCTGTACCATACCAGGGGTGTATATATATATATATACAGCACTGGACTACTAACCACAAGGTCTGTGGTTCAAACCCACCAGCTGCTCCTCGGAAACCTGACACAGGGTAGCTATCAATCAGAAACAACTTGACGGCATTTAATAACAACATATATATGTTTTAGAAAGTTAGTGAAAGAATGGAATAAAAAAAATAATGGAATCTTTCCCTAAACTTTTTGAAGCTCCCTCAGATAAGCAGTCAGATGTTGCCCAAACAGATGTTACGCAGCACATGAATATGTCACATACATACACATAGAAGGGGACTTAGAAAAGTTCATGGAAAAATTCCATTTTCCCGTGAACTCTTTGACTCTTTATGTCTATGGTCTCAAAGGTTATATATAATAGAGTTTAGAAATCCCAGTGAGAGAACAGGACATAGTAAATACAACAGCTGCTTCCTGCACAGAACATGTGTTATTTCATGTGTCTTATATACAGACCTAATGGTACAGTACATATATCATCTACAATACCTACATATGTCTTCAGTTATAATAAACACCTATATTACCACCTTATATATGTACTGTATTATACTTTCTTTCTAAAAAGTTGACCCTAAAACAGTGTATGCTTTGACTCATAAGCAGCAACATCCAATCTTGTGTATCATGCATCTCTTGAGTGTTGTAACGTTATCTCTGTTTAATTTTCTTTCAAAAATATTATCATGAAGTGCATCGTGGCTCCCAATGCAGCACAGCCAGTAGTAGTGCTAGCAGCAGCAAGAAGCCAAGGAGAAATACTGATTTGGAAGAGAAACAAGAGGTCATTAAACAACACAACACGAAGGTGGACAATCAGTGAATACTGTTTACGATTTAGGCGTGTCACATTCAGCAATCATGACAGTACTCAGAAACAAAGAAAAAACTCTCCAAGCTGCTAAAGGATCTGCTGCACTGAAAGCTTACAAGGCTAATGAAAATGAGAAAGGGACCTGTATCAAATATGGAGAAATTGCTGATGATGTCGATTGAGAACCAAACACAAAAGCGAATCCCTTTCAGCATGTTGACTGACATCACTGCTAAGGCATGAAGTTGGTTCGAGATGTTAAAGAGAAAAGAGGACCAGTCTACGATGTGGTGTTTGCACAACATCAGAATCACATAACTCCTCTATTTCACAGAACATATTGTGGACATTGACCTACACATGACTGTGTATGTGTGTCTGCTTATGTATGCATAGCTCTGTGTGTGTGCGTGTGTGTGTGTGTTCCTACTGTCTTCTCATCTTACTACCAAGTCTGGCCCCTGACACCACGCTACAATGGACTAGAAGGCCCCAGGGCCCTTACTGTAAGGAAGAAGTGACCCTTATCATCCTCTTGTCTCTGGGGCATCCTACTCACTCAGCATCCCTATCCTAGACTAGGACTTCGGCCCCTTTTTCCAGAGCCAGCTAGCTCACCCTCTTCCTAGAAATTGATAGGTTTAGGAGAGGTGGGCACCAGGGTGGGCAGAAATGCATACTCCATTCTCATTTGGATAGCATGGATAGTGAGGAACAGGATGGGGAGACAGCAGATAAAAGGTTGGGTGAAAAGGGGCCTGTGTGTCTGGCTGTGGTGCCCAGGCTGTTCTGGGCTCTGTACCTGTAGATTAGTCAGCTCCTCCCTCCCCAAGGTCAACTTTAAGTGATCTCATTGCTGCACCACAGCCTCCTGATGGGGCATGTGTATGTGTGTGTGTGCGCGCGTGTGTGTGTATGTGTCCATCCCTCCGGTGCTGTATATGACCTTTGTGCATGAAAATGTTTTCTCTGGGTGTGACTGCATGTACTGTGTATTTTGACATTCACTTCGTGTATGTTGTATTTGCTGAATATACACTGGATATATGGTATGAATGTGTTTGTATACTTCATGGCTGTTGTCTGTGTATAACCTGTATGCACCCTCTGCATACCTTTCATTCATACTGCATGGGCTCTGCATGTGGATTATTGTATATGCATCTCATGGATGCTGCATCTCTGTGGTTATATATTGTATATTGCATATGTTGGATACTACATGAATGTTTCATGCACTTGGTATTGTTTATTCATTTCACATTGCTTGCCATTTACATTTTCATGCCTATTTGCATGTGTATGCTCTATACTACATGTATCCATGTGCATGGACGATATGGTGTGTGTGTTTGTGTGCATGTGTGGGGTGTGTGTGTCTGTGTTCTGTCTTCAGACAGCTCCGCACAGGCCTCTCGGGTACAAGTGGCTGTCCAGACCTTGGATGAGAATGACAATGCCCCTCAGCTGTCTGAGCCCTATGATACTTTTGTGTGTGACTCTGCAGCCCCTGGCCAGGTGAGCAGCTGGACAGACGGATTGGGGCCTCAAGGCCTTCAGCTTCCCACTCCATACAAGGCCTCTTCTTCCTCACAGCTTATTCAGATCATTCGGGCCCTGGACAGAGACGAAGTCGGCAACAGCAGCCATATTTCCCTTCAAGGCCCTCTGGGTCCTGATGCCAACTTCACTGTCCGAGACAACCGAGGTGGGTGGTGTCAGTACAACCACCCTGTGCCTGCTTCCCTCCTCTCCTCTATCAACCCACAGCCCCACCTAACTGATCTCTGCACTACCTGTCTACACCCTCCAGCCAACTTGTTTACTGCTGCTATTTCAAGAGCACCCATCCCTCGGCTTCCCATGGGAGGATGGCTCCATGGGCCAGACTGACCCTACCAGGAAGGTGTTCCAGGTGGGGTCCCAACATCTTCCCTTTCTTACAGATGGCTCTGCCAGCCTGCTGCTGCCCTCCCGTCCTGCTCCACCCCGCCAAGCCCCCTACCTGGTTCCTATTGAACTGTGGGACTGGGGGCAGCCTGCACTGAGCAGTACAGTCACAGTGACAGTCAGCGTGTGCCGCTGTCGGCCAGATGGGTCTGTGGCATCCTGCCGGCCTGAGGCTCAGCTCTCACCTGCTGGGCTCAGCACTGGGGCTCTGCTTGCCATCGTCACCTGTGTGGGCACTCTGCTTGGTGAGTCAGGCTCCAGTGGGATATAGATGTGGGGTCCAGACCCCAAGAAGTATGGAGAGGAACTGGCTCCTTCAGGCTTGAAGGAGCCCTCATGCCTGGGTTCCCTCCACCCCAACTGCTTGGCACATCCAAGAGAAAGGCTTTGGCCTCCTATCCCTGATCTGTTAGTCCATAGCGACAGTAACAAGTTATTCAGTTAGTTTATTTGATCCATACCCTGTGCCAAGCACTGCACTGGGCACATTACTGCAGTATTTTAGTTCATACTTTCAGCAACCCTAAAAGGTTGTCTTAGTTCGCTAGTACTGCTGTAGCAAAAATACTACAAGTGAGTGGCTTTAACAAACCAATTTAGAAAGCTAGGAGTCAAAATTCAGGATGCCAGCTCTAAGGGGAGGCTTTTTCTGTTGGGTCAGGAGGAAGGTCCTTGTTTCTTATGAACTTCTGCTCTTGGGCAGTTTTCTTGTGGCCTGGCATCCCTCCCCATCTCTGCTGCTTTTGGTTGCTTATTAAAAGAGATTGATTTAAGACATACCACTACACTAATTCTGTCTCATAACAAAGACAACCCATTCCCAAATGGGATTATAACCACAGGCATAGAGGTTAGGCTTTGCAACACATATTTTGGGGTGACAAAATTCAGTCCTTAACATTCCACTCTTTAACAGCCCCACACACCAAAATTCATCTCCTTGCCACATGCACAACACATTTGCCTTATCACATTGTCCCCAAAATCTTAAATCAACTCCAAATCCAAAATCTCATCTTTTGAATCATCTAAATCAAATGTGGGTGAGACATTAAGTATATTCTATCATGGGGCAAAATTCTTCTTCATCTGTGAAATCTTTCTAAATATAATCTCTTTCTAAAATTAATGATGGAATATGTACAAGGTAGATGTTTCTATTACAAATGGGAAAAATTGGAGATAAAGAAGGGATGGTGGTGGTGGTGGTGTGCCATGGAGTTGACTCTGACTCATAGTGATCCTACACAGGGTTTCCGAGGCTATAAATCTTTATAGGAGCAGAAAGCCTCATCTTTCTTCTGCAGAACAGCTGGTAGTTTTGAACTGCTGACCTTGAAATTAGCAGCCCGACTCATAACCACTTTGCTACCAGAGCTCCTTAAAGAAGGGATAACAGGCACCAAACAAGTTCATAATCTAATAGAACAAATTACAATAGGTCTCAAGCCTAGAAAATATTCCTTTCTTCTGTGAAATCACATAAGCAATAGCATCCCCCTTCAGGCTCTGGGTGTTGGTCATGCCACTTGGATTCTGGGTAGTGGCTCCGGGCCCTGGGCCTTAGCTCTACCTTCCAGGTAACCTGGGATAACAACCCTGCTTCTTCAGTCAATGTTGCACTCTCCTACTCATCTGAATGGAAACCTCACCCCCTCAGCTTTGGGTGGTGGTTTAATATAACAGCAGCCTTTACATTCTGCAACCAAATTGCCAAAGATCTGACTCTTTGAAACCTAGGAGGCTGTGGCCCCACCCTTTGAAACCAATAAGGCCCAGCTTCTTGTGCTCCGTAATAACAATTCTGATTTTCAAGATGCTGCAGGGATGGTTCTTTTCTTATTTTGGAGGACAACAGATAGAGCTCTTTTGGCCTGTTTCCTGCCTGTAGAATTCCAAGAAACAAACAGCTTCTCTCTCTCCTTTTTCTGACCCTTTAGTCTAAACTGGTAGCTTTTATGCTGTGGTGGTTACTTAGATCCATCTGTCAGAGGCTTAATCTCTAACAAAAGATTGTGTAGCCACGTCTTTGGTGACATTCTAGAACACATTTGGTTTGTACAACAAAAATTTCCAAGTATTTACGTTCTGTTTTCATTGTACACAGTTCATTTTTAAGTCCACTTCTTACCTCTTGCATTTTGTTTTTAAGTGGTAAGGAGGAATCATTTGTTCCCTTTAAAGTCTAGCTTAGAAATCTTATTAGCCAAATACCCAAATTCATCATGTTAAAATTCTACACTTTCCACCAAACATTTGAACATAACTTGGACAAGTTCTTTGCTGCTGCATAAAAACATCACCCTTCCTCCACTGTCTAGTCACGTGTTCATCACCAGAAGCACATTCAGTGTCTACATTTCCAGCAATATTCTATTGTATTCTATATGTATCCTTATGTATTCTATATAGTTCTCTTAACTTCCTTCTAATTTGCCTTTGATGTCCATAGTTCTACCAACAGTCTTCTTCAAAGAAATCCAGGCTTTTACTGTTAGGAACCTTAAAATGCTTCCAGTCTCTACCTATCATTTAATGCCAAAGCCACTTCTACATTGAAGGTATCTGTTACAGCAGTAACCCACTTGTTGTTATGTGCTGTGGAGTTGGTTCCGACTCATAGCGACCCTGTACAGGGTTTCCGCGGCTGTAAATCTTTATGGGAGCAGAAAGCCTCATCTTTCTCCCACGGAACAACTGGTCGTTTCGAACTGCTGACCCTGAGGTTAGCAGCCTGATTCGTAATCACTACGCTTCCAGAGCTCCTTAGCATCCCACTGTCTAGCATCAAATTATTTCTTATCTAGTACTGCTATACATAACAGAAATACCACAAGTAGAGGTAAATATGTTTTCCATACAAGTACACTCGAGAGTCAAAGAGGTTCCGAGGCCTTAAGCAACTTCCCATGGTCACACAGCTAGTTGTGTTGTAGAAGCAGGATTCAAACTGAGGTTTGTCAGATGTCAAACCCAGGGCCTGTAACCATTTAACAACACTGCCCACTCGATGGCCTGAGCCCTTCAGAATGGAAATGGACTGCCCTGTTTCCAGGAACCTGCGGGGTTCAGCAGCCTGTGTGTGTCTTTCTCCCCAGCTCTGGTGGTGCTCTTCGTGGCTTTGCGGCGGCAAAAGCAGGAGTCGCTGATGGTATTGGAGGAGGAAGACGTCCGTGAGAACATCATCACCTACGACGACGAGGGCGGTGGTGAGGAAGACACCGAGGCCTTCGATATCACCGCCCTGCAAAATCCCGATGGAGCGGCGCCCCCAGCCCCCGGCCCGCCTGCGCGCCGCGACGTGCTGCCCTGGGCCCGTCCACCTCGCCACTCCAGGCCCCCGGGCCCCGCCGACGTGGCGCAGCTCCTGGCGCTGCGGCTCAGGGAGGCAGACGAGGACCCCAGCGTGCCCCCGTACGACTCTGTGCAGGTGTATGGCTACGAGGGCCGCGGCTCCTCCTGTGGCTCCCTCAGCTCCCTGGGCTCCGGCAGCGAGGCCGGTGGCGCCTCCGGCCCTGCAGAGCCACTGGACGACTGGGGGCCGCTCTTCCGCACCCTGGCCGAGCTGTATGGGGCCAAGGAGCCCTCCGCCCCCTGAGAGCCGGCCCTGTCTCCGCCCGCCGCGGTGGGGCAGCCCGCACAGGCCCTCTGAGTGAGCCCCACGGGGGTCTAGGCAGGCGATAGCAGCCCAGGGGCCACAGGTCAACCCCATCCCTGGGTCCCTCCGCCCTCCTGCCCCAGAGCACCCTCTTTCTTACCTCCCCCTCCTCAGTCGATGTGTATGTCTCTATCCAGGGATCTCTCTGTCTCTGAGTGTGTCTCTGCCTCTCTCTGGCTCTGTCTGTGACTCTTCTTCTGATGGCCCCCCCTCTCTGTCTGGGTCTCAGTTTTGTGGCTCTGACTCTGAACCCTCTGTTGTCTCACTGTGATAACTCTTTTCTCTATGCCTCTCTGTTTTTGTCTGATTTGGAATCTCACTCTCTGTCCCTCTTGCCCTGTGCTGTGTCTGTCTCCCACCCACATCTCCTCCTCATTCTTCTGGATCCCTGTGACTGGCTTTTTGTTTTTTTTTCCTTTATCCATCCCAAAAGCAAGAGAAACTTCCAGCCACTGCTGCCCACCCTCTTGCAGGCGATGCTCTGCCCCAGGTTAGTGCCCCGAGCCTGTTTGGGACTAGGGGTGGGCTAGTCCCTCCCCCACAGAAGGTCTCTAACGCCCTCCTATGCTCACCTGTCCTTGCAGACCTGCCCGCATGGTTCCATCCATCACTCATGACCTCATCCTGGCTCCACTGGCCTCCAGCAGCAGAAGGAGCCAGCCACCTCCCAGGGTGAAAGCTCCAGTCCCCACGTGGCTGCCTCCCTGGAGCTCTGCCCAGCTGTTAGCCTGCCCTGGGCATCCCAGCTCTGGGCATTGTCTTGTGTGTTTCCCAGACCCCAGAGGAAGGGAGGGAAGGAAAACAAGGAGGCAGCTGGGAAAGGGGATAAAGGGAGGAAGGGGAGGGGCCTCCATCTCTAATTTCATAATAAACACTTTATTTTGTAAAGCTAGAGTTCTGCTTTTACTTCTGCTTTTCTACAGGTTTCTGTATAGAGCTTCACTGTGCTGAAAGATGATGGGAGGAAAGGCCTAAGCCTCTCCTTGTGCTTTCTCCCTGGGACTGGGGGGTGGGAAGGAGGAATTCTGCTTCAGATGCCCCCTAGATAGAGGAGAGTTTGAGTTCATTCCATCGAGGGAGTAAGAAGAAAATGTCCCTGTTTTCCCTACCATGACCAACTTTCAGGGTACCTGTTGGTCTTGAACTCCCAAGGAAATTAAGATGTGAGGGTTGGCCAGAGGGGGCAAGTGAGAGGAGAAATAGAGGTGAGAGTAGAACACTAGAGAGAGATTTGGGGTGGTAGGAAATTTGAGGCAGTGTTTCCTTCAGTTGTACTTAGGGTCACTATGAGTCAGTGCAGACTCGATGGTATCTAACAACAGGAAAAGAAGGGGCCCAGATAGTCTCTCCTGGGGAAAGGACAGGCTGGGGTGAGTCATGTTGAATCTGGGCCCTCTACCCAGTGTGGCACTGTGGGTTAATGCACTGGACTGCAAGATCGGTTTGAACCACAAGGATGGCAGTTCAAGCTCACCAGCTGCTCCTTGGAAACCCTATACAGGTTCGCTATGAGTCAGAAGCCCAATGAATCAGAACCAACTCGAAAGCACTTAATAACACCCCCCATCTTTAATCTTCCTCCAGTCCTTGGTCTTACTCTGGGCAGGGCACAAATATGGAGAGAGAAGGTGTAGGGGAGGGAGGAGTGGATTATCCAAGGTCTGGGGGCAATTAGGGTGGGAGCTGAGAGGGAACTGCTATCTCCTCCCTATGCCCACTCCCAGAGACATGATCCACCCAGAAGCCAGAATTAGAACCAGGCTTCAAGGTTCCAGAGACAAAAATAGGTGAGTCAGTTCCTCTAGGCGTAGGGTGCTGGGAATGAGGGAAAAGTACTTCATTGGGAAGATGCCTTCTCTTACACCTTTATCTGCTAGGTTAGAATAACCAAGTAGTTAGAGAACAGGACCCTGGATGCTACTGCTGAACATGACATTTTACTGTTGAATGTTGCACTCCTAGGCCCCTGACAACCCAAGGAACTGTGTAAGAGCGCAATGTAAATTCCCTGATGGTATGGGCAATGTGTTAGGAGAGGTGTCAGAGGGGACAAGATCATTCAGTTCAGGGTAGGAAGGCCCCTTTCATTTCACTTGATATCTACATCAAACCTTGAGGAAAAACTGAAGGAAAGGAAGAACCCTGAGCCAGGGGTCAACTCTTAGGTAGTACAGGATGGTTGGGAGGTAGGATATGAACCTGTATCTACTTTCCCAGGCCTCCCTAACACCCTCCTGAGGTCTCCTCTCAACTCACTAATAAACTTTGGTGGTGGTAGTGGTTGTGTCTCACTGAGTATGTTACTAAAAACTTAGGGGGTTAAAAACTGAGGACATAGGGAAACAAGCGTATCAACAAGGCCCTTGAGTTTATCTCTGATCTCAAAAACTTAATCATTAGAAAGGATGGAACTTGTCAAAGGGAGTAAAGAGGGACAGGAAAGAAAAAGGAAGAAAGAGAAATCAGAGAAAGAAATGTAAGAAGGGAAAGCAAGAAGAAAGCGCTCTCCTCCTGTCCCCATGCCCATCCTCTCTCTGGATTCCATCCTTCTTCTCCACTAAGGGAAGGGAAGGGGTGCAGAGGATCTGAGAGGGAGTGACTGTAGTTCACAGCAGCATCTTGGCTGGGTTCAGGGGTAAACCCCAGGCCTCCCCTTCCTCCCTGCCTTTTTTTTCTCCCTGATGGCCTCAGACTGGGGTGGGGGTGAGGACTTGGTGAGCTGGTGGGGAGGCCTTGTTTCCCTCTCATTTTCATCCTGGAGCATTTTCCCAAAAGATGTGGACCAGCCTGGCATTTTCCCTGACAGGATAAGGGTCTGCGCTCCACATTCAGGTATTGCTCTTTCTCTTCCAGTGGTTTCCAGTGCCCTTCTCTGCACAAAGAACTGAACATCCATCACCTGCACATTCAGGTACACACAGCAGCCATCCCAAAAGCACAACTGCATCATTCATACTTGAACACAGGACTCACACACGTCTGTGGACATGAATATACATACTTACATGCTAGAACCAATCCAAAACTTAAATCCTGTGGGAAACAGTCTTTCCTCTTCGCTCCTCCAGGACTCAGCTATTACAGGGGTCCCTGACCTCAGTAATTATTCTAATAGTTCCATGTTTCCCTCCTGATGCTGAGGAGTGGGAAAGGAGTGAAAGGGTACTGTGGAGACCTCAGGCCAGATTCTTTGACCCTGGCTTAAAGGCTAGTCCTCAGCATACCGAGCAGCTTCCTGAGGCCCCCTTTCCCACCACGTTTTCCTCCATGCTTTCACGCTTTCCCTCTAGGGCTCCCTCATCTTTTCACCCTCCTCCCCTTAGGGCCTGAGGCCTTAGTTTTCCTCTCTCCTTCTGGCTAGGGGAGGGGCATCCAGGAGGGAGGGATAAAATGTTGCTGTCATTCTTGTGATGGAAATGTAAGGAGTGGAATGATGGAAATGAAGGTTCAGTAACCTCCTAAAAGGCATGATCAGCCCCTTACCTAGATCCAACCATGCTTTTCTCTCCCACTTGGCCTGTGTGGAGGAGAGTGTCCCTTCTGGAGCTGTCAGCTTGGGTTTTCCAAGTCAGGGTTTACAGGGGAAGGATTAGAGGTGGGAGGGGGCAGGAGAGGATGTACTAATCTGACAGCTTCCACTGACATAGCCACCTCCTTCTCTCCTTAATTCCCCAGAGGATGCTGCAGGAAGGAATGGCCAGAAGGAGGCAAAGGGAAGAATGGAGGAGGTGCCAATAGCAATGACAAGCCTGAAAGGCTAAAGAGCAAGGGTGAGGCTGCAAGGAGCTGGGCCCTGGCCACTACAGCCAGAGGAAAGTAGTGGGAGCAGCTTCCCTGAGCTCACCCTTCAGGCCCTCAGACTCCTCTGGGTTCATCCATCCCTGCCACCTGGCAGAAGCTTGGCATAACTACTCTTTCCCTCACATCTTCCCCAGAAGCCTGCAGGCTCTTGAAGGGAAAGATTAGCTTCAAGTCTCATCTCTGCCACCTGCTGTGTGACCCTGAACAAGTCTCATAATCCTGTAAACCTGTTTCCTCCTCTAAAAGTGAGAATAATAACCTTACCTAAAGGGTTATCAGGACACTGAATTCAGTGAAGGGGTATTCATGATGGGGGAGGAGAGCACATATGAGAAGTCTACCCCCCCCCTCCAAGGGATGTCTTTACCTGTACCTCCCAGCCTGGGTCTCACACCTGGCTCTGACAGGGTCACACATAGGACCAGCCCCCAGGAGTGCCACATCATGGCTGACAAGAGTTGGTAGCACTGACCACGCTGGTCAGCTGACCCCACCACCACCATCGCACCCCACGCCACATCTGTAACCCCACCTCATCAAAATGAAAAAGAGGCAGAGACTCTGAAACTAAGACAGAAGCAAACAGAAGGGAAGAAGGGTGCTTGGGGATGGGCTAGGAAAAAGCAGGTGAAAGAATGGCAAGAAAAGAGGGTCTAGCACCTAGCTCAGTGTCTAGCATACAGTAGACATGCAGTAAGTATTTAGTGAAACAAGGACTTGATGCTGAGAATAAGACTGGACAAGTCTATTTGATATCTATAGAAAGGTGTTGGACAGAGTCATCAATAACTCCAGGAGTCAGAAAGGAGTGTAGATTTGGAACAAATCAAGCCAACAACCCACAAGAACCTGAGCCAGATGCAGTGATGCTGTGCCCAGCAGGGATTCTCCCTTTGTAGAGCCATCCTCCCACCCACTCCCAGGGCCTAGGCCCTCCCCCAAGTCCTGCTACTTCTCCCAGCCTCTTTGCCTCTGCTGGAATCCTGGAGTCTTCTGGTGCTGCCTCCCATGGCTCAGTTCTGTGAAGAGTGGCAGACTCAAGACTGGGCCTTGCTTGTCTCCTCTTCCTCCTTACTGGGCTTCGGCTCCCATAGCTCCGCATACAGCACACAGGCATCATCCTGAGACACATACTCCCATCCACTCTCCCGTACGTGGAAAAGATCCACAGAACCCCCTGAATAGGCATCACGGCGAGTGGCATGAGCCACAGCTCTGCGAGCCAGAGTGTAGGCTTCCTGGGTGGTCATGTCGTAGCGGTAACCGCGGTCTAACACGCCATAGGCATAGGGAGACCCAGAGCCCACTGAGAAGATGTCCCCCTGCAGGCGCGTGCCATTACTGTACACGTAGAAGAGGGCAGGGCCTGAGCGGTCCCAACCACACAAGGCAGTGGCCACACATAGATCCAGCCCCCGGTAGCGGGACATCATGGTTGACAAGAGTTTGGCAGCACTAGCCACACTGGGCAACTGACCCTCCCTCAGAGCCCTCAGCCGCAGCTCCCGCTGTAGCACCCGGTACCATGTGGCGCAGTCAGCGGAGGTGCCAGAGGTGGTGCCCAAGAGGTGCTGATGCACAGGAATGACTTTTTGTGAGGCTGGACAAGCCACGTAGTTGCCACAGGAGGAGCGTGTGTCGGCCGCAGCAATAACTCCATGACGGAAGCGGAAGGCCAGGGTGGTGGTGCCATGGGCCAGCTTGGGGCCATGGATCTGTAGGAAGGCTTGAGGGTCGCAGCCCCGAGGCAGGGTCCACCCACTAACCTGAGGCAAATGAAGTGATGATTCTTGGGTGTCAGGGGCCTGCCAGTTACACACATCTTGCAGGGCCATCCCTGGGACTGAATGAAGGCTGGAAGGAGCAGGGCACAAATTTGTGGGCTGGGGTCAGGTGGAAGATGAGGGACGCTGGGAAGAAGCTGATCTGCAGCCAGAATCACTGAGAATGGCATATGATCCGATGCTTCACTTACCTCTAGCACAACATCAGGCTTTGGGAATGACTGATGGAGAGCAGCCCCTCCTTTTCAGAGGGCTGCTTAGGGGAGACAAGATGAGGCCAGTAGCGTTTCCAACGCCAGAAAGACGCTGCCCCATCTATCAGACCTTCACTTTCTGCTGCCATGGCACATCTGAGAGTCACCCAGGGAGTCACCTGTCCATCATCCTCCAACTCTCTGAAGTAGGGTGGGGGCTGGGATGACTGCAAAGAAGAGTGGACACATGTGGAAGGAGAAAAGTTGGGTTTCTCATGCTTTTCCTGTGAGGGACATTGGGAATACAAAGACAAACAAGACTCCATTCCTACCCTAAGAAAGCTCCAAGGAGGAGGTAAAGACAACTCGGTGTTCAACTGTCATCAGAATAGAGTGTTATGGACTCATGAAGGCAAAGGGTTTGATGCTAGGACTCTCTTCAAAGATGTGGGGCCAGAACGCTGAGGCTCAGCCCACATTTTCAACTCAAAATAAAGATGGGGGAAAAGACATGGACTGAGACAAGGACAAATGGGAAAATAATATTTGTTATAAGGGTGGAGGGGTGAGCAGAGGAAAAGAGGAGAAAGGAACTCAAATATCTCCCAAAGAGGCAGGTTACTGAGGCAAGGGTGAAGAGAAACAAGAACCTGGAACTCTCTTTTCTTTGGTTGGGTCAATCTGTCCTTCCATCTGCATACTAAGATGGCATTCCTGACAATTATCTGGTGAGATAGCCCCTCTAACTCGTGTGAAAGTCCTGAAAATATAGCTGAAAGAGTCTAATGGCAATTTTCCTCCTTATTCTCTTATTGTCCAGTAATTCACAATTGCAAGAAAGCTGGTTTATAGTTCCAAGGCAAAAAGACTAACCCAACCTGGAAACTTGAGATGCCAGGGTTAGGGTTGGTATGCTCTGACTGGTGGCCTTTCTGAAAATTGAGGTAGAGTGGGGGAGAATGACAGGTTGTAAGTAATTTTAGCACATGTTTTACTAAGATTTCAGTTCAGGGGGCATTCTGTGAGAATGGGTTTATTCAAAGAACCAAATTCTCATACAAAGGAACTAGTCTGGGCCCTCCAGACATCATTGTGGTGGGACTGCGGCATTATAGTTTCCTGGGGACTCAGTAGTAAGGGCGAGTATAAACACATCATGTTGTTAAGCTGTTGTTAAGTGCCATGGAGCCAGTTCCAACTCATATGACCCTGTACAGGGTTTCTAAGGAGCAGCTGGTGATCTTGAACCTCCAACCTTGTGGTTCAAGCCGACCTTGCAGTCCAGCACCACACCAGGATATCATAGGAGAGTTTACACATAGAAGACTCAGGAAAACCAATACAGCATGCTAAGGTTCAACCAGTCTTCCCTTCTTTGGGTAGGGCCATGTGTAAAACTTACTGAAGAGAGAAGAATATCTCCTCTTTCTGACAAACTTTCTAAAGACTTAGAATTTTCATATATAGATGGATTGCTGCTACTCTTCCCACGTCAGGCCATTGTCAAGCCAGATCTGTATAATTGAATGGTTTCCTAATTGACCACCTCCAGCTTCTCTCTGGACTCCTGGTGTGGCACTGTAGGATCAGCACTGGACTGTGAACCACAAGGTCGACAGTTGAAACTCACCAGCTGCTCCTTCAAAACCTTATACAGGGTAGCTATGAGTTGGAACTAACTCCACGGCACTTAACAACAACAACAAGAGTCCCACAGCAACTATCAACAATAATAATCGTTTGATCCATCTCTACCCACCACTTTTTTTTTATTTTATACAAAAGTGATATTTTATTTTGTTTTTGTTGTGAACTGAGTGATAGTTTACATGGGAAAACATCGGCTTTACACCATCATTTTATTGTAATGATTAGTCTCCTCCATGTATCATTATTCAACAATATTTGCTTCTATTCCCTCTGGTTTTCTTTTTTGTTGTTGTTATTGGGGGTGTGTGTGTAGAGATGTACAAAAATGCACAGGAATACATAATCATTTAAACCACCGAAGGGCACATTCTGCAAGCCCGCCTCCTGGCCTCCAGCTCTCAGTCCCTCTCTTTCCATGAATCTAGCGTCCTCAGTCGCTCCCTCTTTCCATGCCCCCATCTCTGCCTCCATCTCTGGTGTCACTGCTTCTCTGGATAGGTCCTGCATTCTATTTGTGCTCTTCTCCCTTCCCTAGGAAGGCTCCTCTGCTTTTGGACTGTAAGATTAACCACTTCCCTGTTTTTGTTACAAAACTTCTACCTTTACAGCTATGACAGTTGCAATTAGTCATGATAACAATTACTCACTATTGAATCATAAGAATCTTATCCCCATCTCTTTTCATCAGACCCATCTAGACAAGATAAAAACTATTCAGTGGGGGGCTCTACCTTCCCCACCGCACACTCTTAAAACTAAACTCCCTCTTGAAAACTTGTAAGCCTGTCACTTCATGCCTTTATTGCCCCCTCATTTTAGGTAACCAATCTCTAAGTTGCCCATACATATCTACCCTGTGTACAGAGGGGATAGCACTGATACTTGATGTGAAGACTCCTTCCCTCTCTATTGGTGTTTCAAGCTCCTATATCCATGAGTATAGGTCAAGTTCATCAAATTGTAGCAATTTACACTCTTTTCCTTTATAAAAAATTTTTTTTAAATCTTCCTCTAGTCAAGTTCTGATTATTAAGCCATCAAGGCTAGGTCAAATGGGTACTATCTGCAATTTTGGGTGTTCTTGTGTATCTCCCCTCACTTCATATCAGCTGAATGCTTCACTCTCAGCTCTAGCTTACCCACCACTTCTTTTTACTCTATTCCTACCATATCTCCCACCTATTTAAATCCTATCTCTCAAAGCCTGACTAAAATCCACATATTTTCAAAAGCCTTCCCATGTATGGGCTGAGAGAGAAGAAGCTATGGGTTTAAGGAGTAATGGAACCTAAGTGGTATTTAAGGAAGTGAATCCAGAACTTTTAGGCAAAGCCTTTCTGAACCCCGATCTGACCTCGATTTGTATTGACCTCTTCCCTAACCTCTGAACCCCGGCATGTATTGTTTTTCACCTCTCATTTGTAAATAGGAACCTTGGATCAAAGAACTAATATAAGGTTAAATTGATGGCCAGAAAATTGATCAGGAGAATATTTTAGTAATTCCAGAGTGAGGAGTTAAGAAGATGAAGGTGGTGTTAGTTTCAATGAAAAAGAATGTGAGAAAAGCTGCAGAGGAAGAATTAATAGGCTTTAGCAACTTACTGGGTATTGGCAAAAGGAAGGGAAGTTGTTAATGACAGGCCAGGGCTTCAGGCACAAAGATGAACAGTAGTGAAATACCTGTCTTTAAAAGCTTACAATCCAGTTATTGTGTGCCATTGAGTACATTCTGACTCATAGGGACCCTAAAGAACACTTAACAACAACAACAATCATTATGGGAGGAGCCCTGGGTTACGCATTGGGTTGCTAACTGCAAGATTGGTTCAAACCCACAAGATGCTCTGAGGGAGAAAGATAAGACTGTCTGCTCCCATAAAGATTTACAGTCTCCAAAACCCTAAGAGGCAGTTCTATGTTGTCCTATAAATTCTCTGAGTCAGAATCAAGTAGTTGTCAATGGGTACTCTTTACATAAGCAGATTGCCAGGTTTTTTCTCTCACTGAGTGATGGGTAGACTTGAATTGCCTACCTTTTAGCTAGCATCCACACTTATAATCAGGTAAAATGTGAAAAGCACCTTCAGGAGGTACAAGTGCTACTGATGGCAAAGTGAAAGAACCACTAAGAGAAGTCAGAAGGAATAGTGGTTGGATTGCAAAAGTGTTTGCAGAATAACCACTGGTTAGTTGACTGGGGTGTTTTTTTGCTTTTTTGTTTTTGTTTTTGTTTTTGCCATTGAATCAACTTTGTGCGTGTCAGATTAGAAATGTGCTCCATAGGGTTGTTTTGGGGTTTTTGCCTCTTAAAGCTTTTATTGTGAATTGAGTGATAGTTTACATGGGAGAACATAAGTTTTGCACTCATCCTATAGCATTTTGTTTCATTTCAATAATTACAATCCCCCCCATGCATCTTCATTTAATAGTATTTGCTTCTATTACCTCTGTTTTTTTGTTTGGTTTTGTTTTGGATGTACACAAAAACACTTCGGAATATATAATCATTTAAACAACCAAAGGACACAGTCTACAAGCCTGCCTCCTGGCCGCCAGCACCCAGACCCTCTCTTTCCATGAATCTAGAGTCCTCAGCTGCTCTCTCTCTCCATGCCATCACCTCTGACTTCCTCTCCAGTGTCACTGCTTCTCTGGTTAGGGTCCCATGTTTTACTCATGCTCTTTTCTCTTGCTGGTCCTAGGGTCCTCTGTTACTGGAATGTAAGATTAACTACTCCCTCCTTTATGCTACAAAACTTATACCTTTACAGTTGTGACAATCGTAATTAGTCATGATAACAATTATTCACTATTGAATCAAAAGAATCCTAACCCATCTTCTTTCACCAGATTCATCTAGACAAGATGAAAATTATTCAGTGGGGATTTTACCTTCCCACACACACTCTGAAACTAAACTCCCTCTTGAAAAATTTTAAGCCAGCTGCTTTGTGCCTTCATAGCACCCACACACACACACACACCCGCATTTTAGGTGGTTGTTGTCAAGTGCCGTCGAGTCAATTCCGACCCATACCAACCCTGTATAGGATTTCCAAGGAGCAGCTGGTGAGTTTGAACCGCCGACCTTGCAGTTCAAACTGCTTTGCAGTCTGACGCATTAACCCACAGCACCACACCAGGACTCTGCATTTTAGGTAGCCAGTGTCTAATTTGCCCTTCCTTATCAACCCTGTATAGTGTA